GTTTAACTTTATATTTTGTAAAATCAATTTATTTTTACTTTTCGCTAACGCTTTTGGGCATGTTGACTTATTTTTTTTGTAAAAATTTGCTACTAGGAAGTCCCCAGATATTTACCCATTGTGCTGTTTTTTATTTGGTGAAAAATTAATGAGTACAATAATTTATTGATATAAGAAGATGCAAATTCGTCAGAAAAAACACTACGTGGAATTAAGAAAAACTTTAAGACGTAATTCAATTAATTATATAACAATATATTGTAACTGGACATGAATTAATATTAGGTAAAAATATGGAAACTTATAATATTTTGAAATACACTTTTGCTCTTTTAATTATTATAAAATAATGTAAATTTAAAAACTATTGCATTTAATTTGATGCATTTTAAATTTGGCACCATTATCTATATACATGGCTGGCATTCATATGCCTGTCAATTCACAAGTTCCGAACCTAAAAGTTTTGTTTGATTAGTTTCATAAATAGTAAAAACAAAACGACTTTAAATAAATTTTTCTTAAGTGCAATGTATAAAATGTGTTTGTTCATTATAAACAATAATTTTAATTCAGTTATGTTGAAAAACAGAGTTCTTGTGCTAAATTATATGAAAAAAATGTATCGGAATTTCCGCAAGAATTTCCGGTGGTCAATTCTCGGGAACTTTTTCAAATATCAAAAAAAAATCTGAGGGCAATGTTCAAATTTTTCGATATACAAAAAGGAAAAATATTTACTCATTCAATTGGATAATAAAGCATTGGACAATCAGCGTGAGTCAACGTGAGCTATTTTAGAAATAGATCAGAAGCGAGGACTCCCTGCATTACATGCAACTATTGCACGAGAGAAAAAGAACAGTATCGTCAAACGGTTGAGTGGATATCCGCTTAGAAATTAACCGATTGCTTCTTTGACTTGAATGAACAAGGAGGCATTTCCTATTAATGACAAGAAACGAAGGACAAGGCACAGTGCACCTGTATGCAATTTTTTTTTTTTTTCTTTTTGATTATCTGAAAGAAACTAGCAAATTTTTTTCTTATTTCTTTTAATTTTCAAAACATATATGTTTCATGTAAGCATGAGGTGTTTGGTTACATATAGAGAGAATGTAAGAGACACGTGCGGGGAGGAGGAAAAAAGAAGCAGCTGACAGTGATAGACCACGATGATGTTACTTTTAAATATGCGCGCAAGTAACGGGTTAATGATAACGCATATCAGCACAAAACGATGTTGCTAAGCGATCAGCATTTTTGTATGTATATCAATTTCTATTCTATATATTTCTCCACATTTTCCACAATATTGAACTAAACTATTTTTCTATTAAAAAATGTCTTTCATTTTTTTTTTTTTTTTGCCTACTTTCTACTTTTTCTATTTTATTTTTCATCGTCATCATTGTCGTCGTCTTTCTCAATGAAATCATTCACATGAATAAAACGTAACTGAAGCTCATATTTTATAGTTTTCAGAATAAACTTCCAGTTTTATAGTTCGCTATAAAAACGAAACAGTTGTGTTTTACAAATTATTATAAAACGCCTAAAGGCATTCTATATTGCACTTTAATGTATATTTACAGAACTATATAATTATATAATATTATAAATTTTATTCAGTATTTAATTGATAATAGTCAAGTATAATTGAATAAAATAAATTTTCTTTGAATAACTTTTAATTAAAAAAAAAAAAAGTCTCATTCTCAAATAAAAGATCTTGCTATAATAAATAAGACAGTATTCGCAAAGTGATTTGGAGAAAGTAGAAGAAGATATACATAATTTGAAATGTCTCGACAATTAAAATATTGATTAATAAAATACAAAAACTTTAATTAATTTTGACAACCGATTAATTATAATGCAGTGAAATATATATTTTTTCAAATTGAGTCTTTTTTCATATTAAAATTAAATTTTTTTTTATTTAACAGTGATGATGGATATTTTTATCGAATTTTCCTTTTTTTCAGAAATAATTTTTGATAAATAGTCGATTATTGGTTCTAATAAAGAAATTATTGGTTTGAATATAGTTTATTTAATTTAAATAAAAAAATTTGATAATAGCCAAGTAACCGATTATTTGAATGAAATAAATTTTTGTTGAGTGTAGAATAATAAAAAGCGCGAGATGATGAGATTTAGCGCTACATATATAGTTAAATGACCGCGAAAGATCAGTGACCAGTGACGGATGATGATTTCGCGCCTCAACTATATATGTATATATATATATATAAAGATTTAAAATCCACTCGATATTTCTTAATTATCATGAGGAGAGCGCCGCGTTCACTTAGGAGGATTCTTAATAGCTTTTCGAGAGGAGGCCTCTCTCTCTCTTTTTCTCTCATATATATATATAAGAGACCGAAACTTTGAGAGCGCGCAAGAGAACCCGCGCGTCATTTGAATGCGATGGAATGCTGGTTCCAAGGCGGCTCATCTGAAGTTGAGTTAGGTTCGATTGCTCAACCGCTCAAACAACTTGAGAGAGAAAGAGAGAGAGATAGTATGTATACCAAAGCACGGGGCACCTTAACATTAAATACGACGGTGTGATTCTTTGTGTGTATTTTATATATATATATATGCAACAAACATATACATAGGTACTTTAGATTATGTGTACCACATACTAACACAAAAAGAAAACTGCCACGACAGTGTGTTCGCCAGAAGCTTTCTATGCTGTCACACATTCCTGAATCAAATTAAAAAACAAACAGGCTACGTGCCAGCACGTTCATGCCTTCGAGGGTTCACTTTTCTGGGGTGTACAAAAATTATTTGGGAATTCAATTTTTGAAAAATTTCCCGCTATTCATCATTATAATTATAGATATTCAGAAAAATCAAATTACTTCAATGAAGAATAAAATTCAACATCAATTTCTCTATAATATAACACTAAGAAAATTCAATGAAGAAAGATAAGTGAAGAAACAAAAATGCAAAATTTGATGAAAATTTATCTAAAAATAGAAGGAATGTAACAAAGAGATTGATTACAGAGAAAAAGGGTCGATTTTAGGGACACGAACTTTCACCAAAAAAAAAAAAAAAAAGAAGAATATTTTTGTTAATATTCGGTTGAATGCTTTTGAAGAAGACAACTAGGTAGAAATCACGTCGACTTGAATCGAACTTGTAGAATCCATCTTTTCAATCCAAGTTCGGCCCCCTCGTTTCACCGCGTGTGTAGGTATATATACTTGCGGCCACAATATAAAGAGCAGAAGAAAGAAGAAGAAGAAGAAGAATCCTCTTCTCAGAATCGCACCATCAGATATGGCGTCTAGACTAAAGTAGCGCCACAGGACCCTGGTGGACATTGTGTTAACTGCTGTCCATATATTTCTGAAACCCTGAGAAAACTATAAAGAAAAAACAAAATCATCAGATCCTAAAAAAATTCCCTTTAAATTAGAAATATAAATCAAGATATCCAAATTTTTAATTAGTTTTCCAATTTTCTTCAACGTTGAAGTTATTTTTAATTTATTCATTTCAAGATTGCCTTATCTTTCGAAAGATATATGAAACTTCTGAGAATAATGAAGAAAAAAAAGAAAGAAAAAAAAAAAAAATTAAAATTTTTCGAGTTTATAATTTGATGGTGTCAAGGTTTGAGTATTGTCGTGCTTGAAAATTAAATACGTGCTAAAGAAAGCAAGTTTGAAGGTATATAAAGGCCTGGGTGAATGTTTTTGGTGGGGGCTTTGGAATGCGCGGCGCCTAGGGCTCGTTGGATTCCAGGGCCACACGTGCCCCCTGCTCCTCCCCCGCCACAAACCATTGCCAATAAACTTTGCCTCCGGGTAGTCGACGCAGAGAGCCGACCACCATGGAACTCATTCATGAGGCGCACTTCCTATACCACTATACATATATATATATATATGTAGACGATTCCACTTTGGATGATGCAAGAAGAAGTGTATGCTTGCTGCTACCATCTCTTGGTAAAATGTTCAGATTATAAGACGAAATCAAATTCTGATGATATGATGAAAAAAAAAATTTTTTTAATCTAAAACGAAAAAATTACAGTTAGCAAATTAATTAACAATTTGAAAGCTGTTGCTAAAAAAAAAAAAATTTCGAAAAAGAGAGAAATCGATCAATTTCGATTGAAAAAGAAGAGATCTTTCAGCTGAAAATTATTTTTATCCTGCGAGCATAGAAATTTTCTTTGATCATCAATTTCTTCATTTTTAATGAAAAAATGAACTTTAGAGAAAATTTTTATCCCGCGAAAAGGAAGCAAAATACCAAAAATTTCTAACGAATGATATATTTTCCCCTTTTTTTTTTTTTTTTTATTAAAAAGTGAAGAAAAGAACATCCAAAAGATTTTTGAAACTATATTCTACGGACAAATTTCTATAAAAAACGAACAAAGAATAATTAAAGAAAATTATCAATTTTATTCCACTGCTTAATTTTTTTTTTGTAGAAAGATAAGAATTTTAGACCGAGATAGAACTAAATTTTCATCAATATTGGAAAAAAAATCCTCTTAACATTTTATGTTTAGTAAAATATATACAAGAAAGAATGAAATATGAAAATGAAATATTTTCATCTTCACATCTCAAATAATAAATAATATTGATTAATGATTTGAAAAATAAGAGTTAAAATACCAATTTTTTCCCAAGGTGAGCACGTGTACTTCTTTTTTTTTTTAACGAGCCAAAGAAATGAGATTATTGTAATAATTACCGCAAGTGAATGTTCATAATGAGGCAATAATACCTGGTGTAATATGACGTTAATTGTTTTTTAATGAATAATAAATATTTTTAATGTACTCAACATTTTTTTAAAATGGTGTTATTTAAAAAGAAGAGTTTCTTTTTTTTTATCTAATTTCGATAAAAATAAAGTCAATATTTCGAAATTACTGTATATAGCTTCCTCATCGAGGAAATAAAAATTAGAATGAATTTTTTAAATATAGAATTTTCATCTCTTACCTTGCACTTTCAAATGTTGCTGAAACACTGCTTCCTATTGCTCCAAATCCAACACCAACAGCCAATCCTTCAGGAATGTTGTGTACCTTAAAAGAAAAATTAAATTATTAATTATAAAAAGTTTACATTATTAATTAATAAATTCTCAAATAGGTAATCAATTTAAAAATAATTTTTTCTAAAGTAATAAATTGTTAGAAATTTAGATTCAGTGTAAAGGAATTTTTAAATTAAAAGAAATTAAAATATAATTGATCTGAATGTCATTGTTTTACAATTGACGATTTTTTTTTTTGGTCTTAACTAAAGAGTTTACCAGAGGGCAAAAGTTTTTTTATTAACTGAAATTGGACAGCCATTTAAAATCATTATTCACTCCTACTTTAATTTCAATCTGTTATATTATATCATTGATAAAAAAAAAAATACTCACGGTGATTGCAATAACCAACAGTAATATTCTTCTCCATTGATTATTTTTGGATTCATTTCCAGGATCCTCGTAGAGTGTTCCAACTTCTCCCGATTCATTTGGTCTTTGAATACCACTTGTTGGTCTTCTTCTTGTACTCTGTTCATAAAATCCTGTAAAAAAATTGTCATTCATTGTTAAAAATTGTCCACTTCTTAATTCGAAAAAAAAAATAAAAATAAAAATGATCTCAACACGCGCACACTCCTCAATTAATTCAAGCAGAACATTTAAACTAATTTTTTTCTGTCAATTTCGTTTTTTTTGTTAATAATCATATTACCAATAATCCAGCTTACGAAGTGAAACGGAAGACACTTATCTTTTTATAAGTAAAAAAGTATGCATTTTTTTTCTGCAGGCATGAGTAACAAGATCAGTCAAATTCTTTCACAGTTATTTGAATATTTAGAAAATTAATTACCTATGGAATAATTCTCCTTATATCTCTAGAGGAAATTTAATGTATTTCCTGATTTTTACTTTTTTTTTCAAAAAAGGCAAAATTACAAATGTCATTTCAAGGTTTGTTTGCACTATTTTCTACAAGGTTTATGTGATTTTAATTTGTGTCACTGGTTATTGTTAAACGAAGCTTTAAAGGCGCCAATAGAATATGCAATTGTTAGAATAAATTAAGTGTCATGCAATTTTCGTATACACGAGATCAAAACGGTAAAATTGCATGCATTATCCTGACCAATTATTTAAGAAATTAAATCTCATCAACCAGAAAAATTTTTTTTTGGTAATTTTATCAACAATTAAATATAAAACAAATTATCATCAAACATATTTTCGTCGCATTGGCAGATTGCAAAAAAATAAGTACCTTCATTTAATATTCTCTAAATTAGAAAGAAAATTAGAAAAACATTTTTTATACATAAAAACATTTCTTTTATACTATTTCTTTGTATGTTATAAAATTCGTTTTCATTTTTAAATAAAGAAAAATATAATTCCAACAATAGAAAGTACTTATTTTTGGAAATCTGCAAAAATATAAAATCAAAGAGGGGCGAGTGTACACCGACGTTTATTTTATAACAACTGATATCATTGTTCAAGCCTACAGTAGAAATTTTTGTTTGTTTTACCAATAGACAAAAAAAAAAGAATTATTTTTGCAATACCATCGATTGTGGTTGACTCAATATGCGAGTACTTATTGCGGCCAGAAATATGCTTTTCACTAACTAGTTGGTTATCGTCTAAGTCCTCGTCACTCTTTAGTTTTGCAAGAGTCTTGCTTCTTTGTTTCGTACCGACTGATTGCATTGCTAAAAGCACATTGGGGGACTGAATGCCAAGGATGGATATCAACACGTCCGTTCCATAAACAAAAGCCGCGCCAAGAAGAAATCCAATGCCAACAGGTACAAATGCAAATTCTCCCTCAGCTCCATATAATTTGCTCTCTTTTGCCATTTCAATTGCTGGTGACAATAGCGACCAATAACTTGCTGCTATCATAACGCCAGCGGCAAATCCAAGACTGGAATCCAGAAGTTTACGCTGAAATGAAAAAAAAATCTAATTAATAAAATTTAATTTTTCATTTATTTTAATATTAATTTTTTTATCGTTTATTAAATTTTAATAATTCAGTATTTTTATTAAATTTTTTTTCCTCTATTTTCTGGATCTTTGATCTGATTTGTTTGAATGATTTTAGAACTCTAAAAAGAATAATATCGACTTTTTTTACAAACAAGGTTACGATATTTAGTGCATTAGATGTTAAACAAGGTTCCAATAAAGTCAATGAATAGAAACATAAAAATAAAAAATAGAATATTATATTTAATCTAATCTAGTGTTTCAACGATTCATAGAAAAAAAAGAGAAAAATTACATCACTGATAAATTCTTATATTTTGTCAATTCTGCGCAAAATCTAATCATTATCTATTTGAATAATATTTTTTTAAAATTAATTTCCAAGACAGGGGAATTTTTAACATAATAATATTGATTTAATGTTTATTTGAGATGTTAATATTTAAAATAAAGATTCTCATATACAAGAGTTAGAAATAATTTTTTTTTTTTTTTTAGGAAAATAAATAATAAAATATAAATACAGTTCCCTAAGATTCAATTAAAATTGGTGTCAAGGTACACACTCAATAATGAATTACGATGAAGTGTTAACATTTTAAGTTTTATGATGTCAAAGTATGACATTAAAAAGTGCAATAAATTCACACAAAGGAAGAAATGCGTATTATTATATTGTTGAAAAGTCCTTAGATACTCTTAACTAAAATTAAATAATAAGCAGTAAATTTAGATTATTAAATTAAAAATCGCTTTTAAAAATAGACAATAAAATTTTATTTCGTTTATATTCTTTTAATGAATCATTTAGGTAATATTAAAGAATTCCTTAAAAGTTCAGATAATCCTGCTAAATTATTTTCTTTAACTTATATGAAAAAATTAATTTCCTATTTTCTTCAAATGTTTTGCAATTATGAAATAAGATAGAGAAACAAGAAAAAAATCTAAAACATACTAAATGTTATTAAAATGAAAAAAAAAAAAAAAATAATTTCCACATGCACTTTATATTATTTTGATCGTGGAGAGATAACGCATTTCTTTGAAACTAAAAGGAGAAGAAATTAATCTCCGTTTTACCTGGCTGTCAATTTCCTTATTTTTAGAGATATTATTAGAAAGTATTTCATATCAGTGAGCTAACCAGCGGAAATTAATCAAATATTGTATTTGAATTAACACATTTATCGTACACGTGAATCACAAAAGTGAGCAAGAAAAAAAAATCACAAGTTGAATCGTGAAATGTTTTTAACATCATAAATCTTTGCCAATTAGTATTGTTAATTTAAATTCTTTATTTTGATGAATAAAAAAAGAATGATAATAATATATGAATATCGAAAACATATGTTTAATTTTCAAAATAATTTGATTTTTCATTGACTTTTTTTAAAAAATCATATTTACATTCTTAATTGTTTAATAATAATAATGATATTTGAACTTTAAATTATTACACTAAAAAGTTCTGATAAAATTTTTCTTAGTCATGCATCTTATCTACAAAATTTAATACATATTGAAGTAAATTTGAAACAAATTCCCAATCACATTCTATTGTTCTCTAAATTAAATAAACTAAAAGTTTTCATTTATAATTGTATTGCAAACAAATTTATTGTTGATAAATAAATTTTACTTGACCTAAAGAACTCTGACAAATAAATTCTATACCAAATAAATATTTATTTGGTATTTTAACAAAATTTATTCTTTTTCTCAGTTAAGTATTAAAGATACATTGAAGATTAATTAATTTTAAATTAAAAAATAAATATAAAATAATTAAATACCTAAAATAAATTAAAAAATAAAATAATGACTCGACAAAGAAATAAAAATTTTTTTTCAATTTTTTTTAATATACATTTATAAAATTGCCAAAACATGAAATAAAGATATTGTTTTGTTTATAGCAGTAATTATTATTCAATTATATATATATTATGTTATGATTAAAAGATAAGATAAAAAAAAAGAAATATCTTACGTGTTTTCCCCTAATGAAAATGACCAAGGCAGCACCTAAAGCTGTTAAACCCCAGGTAAATAAAGTACCTAATAGGGTTTGAGTAATTGGTGCGTATCCTTTCAGCATGATTGTTTCTTTAATGAAAAATTATATTCTGGATTCCTGGTGATACTACTGTTTACCCTCAAAGCGAATTGAAAGAAACTGATTTGCGAATTCTCGTTGACGTGCACTCAGTCCCCCTTATCTCAGCTGCCACCACCATATCACCATTATTATTATTTCCACTCAAATACAATTGACGATAACCCTGCACCTGCTTCAAGTTCCCTTGACATTGTATATATGATGCAATGAGTATAATGAACTCGATAATTTTCAGCTTTCATTAATTATTTACAAATTATACGATTGATGCGATAACCCCTCCACTATATACGATAGATTCACTCACACTTTTTTTCGTTTTGCATTCAACAAGTTTATTATTTTTCAATGTTTATGCAAAAAGAGGTAGAAATATACACAATTTATTTAATTGCAATGGCAAGAATTTCATACAATCACCTCTCGACAATGGGGTTTTGATAGATTATCATCGTTATCACAATAATTCACTTATTTCCTGTTTTGTTTCAAGCAGATTGATTCATTTTCTAATTGTTGAAATGTAGATTTATTATTATATGATGCCCGGGAATGGAATTTATAATTAAACTTGTAGTAATTATAAACTTTAAATGCGCGTATATAGATAATTTGACAGCCGCCTTCGCCTATCTAATACAACTTAACCTCAAATTTCTGACGTGGCGCGTCAGATAGCAGACGACGCAGAGAAAATGACATTTTAAAAATGGCGTCTGCTTCGGTAGGTGTCTCGTGTTTTTTGTGATTATTTTGGTGTTTAATTTTTACAACTTTTCATATCTTTTTCTATTTTTGTTTATTACAAATCACGAGACATTCAGACATCCTGTTGTTAAAAGCTATTAAAAAATTGATAGCTTTTTTCCACGTCCTGGAAAGCTGCTGTTCGCTATTGCATGTGACGTGTATGTATGCGTTATTTTTTTGACGGGATTTTTTGACAGTTCATTAATTATTTATTAGTTAAGAAAAAAGTATTTTAATTTATCGAATATTAACGTGATTTATATTATATCGAAACATTACAAATGAATAATATATATATTTTTTTTAATTTTATTATTGATGAAGATAACCTATTTTCAACACGGGTGTATTTTATTGATTTTTAAGCCATCAAATGTGACTATTTATTTTTATTGTTTTAATAGTATATTAAACTTCTTTTTAAAATAGATTTACTTTCTAGCACATTTTATATTTGCTTGACATTTGCACAGCTTGTGTAATATCTTTGATTTATTTTGTATAGAAAAATGAAATTAATTATCGTTATTATAATTAAAATTTGGAATTTAGGTACCTTTACTCATGGATGACGATACGATAGCATTTGGGGAGGAGGATGAGGCGACACAAAATAAATTTAAGTAAGAATTGTGTAAATTAATAATAATAATAATTGTTGATTAGTTTGAAATTATTGGGATTTTTTTTTTCTTATTATAATTTTTCTTATTCTTTTTCAGACATCCTTACGTTACAATATTTCATTTGGCATTCAGGATTACGGCCCTTGTTGTTTACTTATTTTATGGAGTGTATTCAGATAGTTTTATAGCAGGTTTCGTTTTAGTTATGCTTCTTCTTTCAATGGATTTTTGGACTGTGAAAAATATAACAGGAAGACTGATGGTTGGTTTAAGATGGTGGAATTATGTGGACGACGAAGGAAAAAGTCATTGGATTTTCGAATCGAGAAAGGTTTCATTTGATTTTTAAATTTCTATTATTAATGATAACTTTTTTCATACAATTCATTATATTTCCTATGAATGAAAATGTAATTGTATTAAACGAGATGTCTGCCATATGCCCTGTGTGTTTCAGGGTTCACAACAGAATCGATTACATGATTCCGAAGTGCGAATATTTTGGCTCGCATTAATACTCTGTCCTTTAATTTGGGCTCTTTTCTTTTTTGTCACATTATTTGGATTTAAATTCAAGTGGATGCTATTGACAATTATGGCACTTGTTCTTAATGGTGCCAATCTTTATGGTTACGTGAAATGTAAAATGGGTGGAGATAAAAATATTTCTTCAGCGACAAGCGAATTTCTCAGGAAACAAGTTTTACAAAATGTATGTTCTGTGAATAATCAATTTTATTTTATTTTTATTTTGTAAAATAATTAAATTTGAAAGGCTTAATTAAATTATAATTAACAGTAAAATAATTGTTTACAGATGGCGTCAATGATGACAAAGAGTCCTCAGACAACAAATCCAAATCAATCTGGAAATATAATTTAAGAAGAAATGTGATCGATATAATAATCGTAAATTGAATATAATATCTATCGTTAAGTGAATTGTAAATACATGCCCAATAGACTTTTTTCAATTCAAAAGAATTAATAATAAAGTGAACACTTTGTTGTGTAAATTCAAGGCAAAAATAATTTTATTCAGAATATATTAATTATTATTATAATTTACTATCTTTTTTATTTTTAAAAAAAAAGTAATAAAAAGATTTATTAATATTTCATTCTTATTGTTAATTTTTTAAATGCTAAAAAAATTATTCTTTAAAAAATTTATCAATTCATTTCTAAATCAAAAAATTGATTTATTTAATGAGATAAGGGAGTCGAAAAAATGATTGATACGTTAATTACTAGTTTATTGATGCCATACGGCAATACATATTGTACAATGCAGTGTCAACAGTCTTCTAATACGCAGTATTTATGATAATTTTTTTTTTCTTCGTAATTGATAACATTTTATTTACTACTCCTGCTCTAAATCATTTTATTCCATTCCGGAAGAAAGTATCACAAAATAATTTCTCCATCTCATTCGCTTATCTACTCGTGACGATTTCGTTTCTGTTTCGTTCTACATTTTACAAGTCATTCCTTCTAAGCTTGTACTGCAGTCATTTGAATCTCATTTTTATGAATTTTAGAACTATACAATGTGTGCGTGGACATAATTTGCGAATGAGTTAAAAAAAAACGTAAATATATTTTAATAAAACTCGACAGTAGATCGAATGTTTAAAAAAATTATTCCTCTTTTTATGAAACGAATACAGTGCAAATCTTTTTAAATTTATGGACTCTAATTTTTAGTTTAAATTAAAAAAAAAATAGTAAAAGATATGTCTTTCAAAAGAAAGAAAATATGAATTAAAATAAGTAAAATAAAAGAATAAAATAATATTGGTGAAGAAATAAATATAGAAAATTTTTAAAATAATTAAATTAAATTAAAGAATTTATAGATTTAATATTTTTGCAATGAACATGAAATTTGGAATAGTATGCACTCAATCACAAATTTTTAATGTGTTTTAAGGAATTTATTTGTCACAAATTCTGAACATATGGGACACAAAAAACTTAAAGCTACGCATTAATGAAGAATTACAATTTTTAAATATAAAATAATACAATTCATCAGTTCCTTTTTTTCCACTTATGTTATATACAATTTTCGATTTTTCGATGATTCAATTTACAGAAAGAAATAAAAGAATTAATTTACACAAATTTCTAAACGGCAAATATAAAATTTTTTTTTTTTTACCTAAATTTAGTACCTATTTAATTTTAAATTACTAATTTTGTTCCAATACAGTCTGACAATAATAATAGTAATAATAATACAAATAATATATAGTAATAGTAATACAAATAATATAAATCTCTGCGTAAAAATAGTCTTGTTTAGAAAAATCTTAATACAAAATAATAAAATAAATGCAGTTTGTTTTAAGTGTTATATTCGATCTACTGTCACAATTACTCAATTTTAAATATAAGAAGTAAATTAAATAAAATAAAAAAAAAAATGAGAAACTAATATTCTCATATAGCTAAAAAATGAAAAGCATCTAAAAAAGTAGTTTGCAAGTTGATTTGTAAAAATGTATAAAAAAGACAATGTTACAAAGTATAAAAATTGTATGAGGCTTTTTATTTAAACATCATGTGTCTTAAAGTTTTTTTCTAAATTTGTTATTTTTCTTTGTTTATTGTGAAAAAGTAAACATTTTATTATTTAAATGAATTATTTAAATTTGTTTAACTGAATTCTTTAATTGTTTAATTAAATTTTTTTATTTATTAATTAAATTATTTAATTAGTTTATAATAAATATAAAATTTTAATAAAAATAATAATAAATTATTTTTGCATAAAAAAACTTTTAAAAAAGCAGGAGAAAATATTAAAAATTCTTTTAATGTAAATTCAGACAAAAATTACAAGAAAAATGTTAAAATTAAAAGCCACATACACAAAATGATGTCTAAATATTTTTAAGTAAAATCTGGGGTTCTAGATTATTAAAATTTACTTATATATACCGATAGCATGGAAAATATTCACATGCCACTAAATCGTGTTTGCTCTCTCTCTCTCTCTCTTTCTTTCTCTCATCTCTTCAGAATAATATTTATAATAATATATATCTATGTATATATTATTTTTCTTATATAATATTTATAATGTTGTTAATGACAGATGGTGCTTTTATTTACACACAATTGTAAATTCCTGACCCTCATTGTATTAATAAAATAATGGAATGATTGTTAAAGTACAATAGGTGCACCGAAAAAAAACTATATATATATATAAATAGAAAAAATAAAAATGAGAATAAAATATTGATAACAGTGTAGTAAAAATAATATAGATCACTGGTGCTTATTAGTTGTGCCAAGAAAATATCAAAAATAAAAAAAAATTTGCTTATTGCTTTCGTCACATTATACTTATGACACTCTATACAATAGTCGAGGCAGTTTGTACCTTTTTATGAATAGTTTATCAAAGAAATGTACAATACGGTACAAATATGTACTCGTAAAAATCGGAGGACATAAATAAGCGTGAGCTTATTGTCATTACAGACCGAAGAATTAATGTACAAAGTTTTAACTAGATTGTATTCGAATACTTACACTATTTAGTCAAAAATTTATTTAGTTTCAATATAATTTTTTTCCATATTTTTGTTATTCTCTTGGTCTCTGTTAATGCATTTATAATAAATTCCGCTAACTTTTAAATACAAGGGGACATTTTTGTACATAGATAGCGGAAGTGATAATTGTTTACAAGATACAAAATAAGAGTGAGAAAGAATTTTTTTTGGAGCAATTTGTATTTTTAGGAGAGTTAAAAGAAATTTTATTTTTATATTACTTAAATTCACTCGAATAAAAGAATGTATTTTAAATAAAAATTTTAAATTATATTTAATTTAAATTTCAAGTTTAGTATTATACATTTTTATTATTTTCAATTTTTATTTATTTTCTCTTTGTGTTAAGTACGGTAATAAATTTTGTACTTATTCTTAGTATTTTTTTTTTTTTAGTTTTGTTCTTTTTTGTGTACTCATACATAAATGAAAATATTTTTATTCTTTTTTTTCATGAAAATAAATTTGAAATTGAGACAACAATTTTTTAAACATAGTACAAATTGCTCCGGAAAATATAAATGAACGAAAAAGAAAGAAAGAAATGAAAAAGGTTGAAGTGCGACTTTGTACATGTGATTTTCTTTTTCTCGAGGGCGCAGGTCAACAGTACGTGATTTCAACATTCAGTATCTCTATATATAAACTATTTTTTTTCCACACGTACCTGATATCATTCAAAAGGAAATGAATCCTTTCATTCATTAATTCGCATAAACTTCACATTCCTAATGGCATCTCTTAAACTATGCTTACAACAGTTTTTTTTTCTTTTTAGTTACGCTCTAATTAAAATAATAGTTTTTAGGTATTGAGAAGTTCCCTTATCGTGCACATTGGATATGGCATTTTAACAGTTGTCAAGGTTTGGCAGTATGGCAATTTTCTTGTCAGTGAAAAAAGGTCACGTCTCCTTTTGTCATTTTTTTTTTTCATTAAATATATTATTATGTCAATATAATTTTTTCCCTTTGAAATGAAATTTTTTTTTACCTATAAACTACAAGTAAAAGCACTTGTAGTAAATTGAGCTTTGATATGAAGCTCTTGACTTGATTTATATGTTATTTCGAAAAAAAACATGTACTCTACGGGGTAAAATATGCCTGATGGGCATTATACAAAATGTTAACAGAGAGTCATGTTTTATTTTTTGTTTTTGCTTATCCTAGATAGTCGTTATTGAAGGAAGCACACATCTGTATTGAGTATTTAAGAGTTTGATCAGTGCCAATGATTTCTTTCATTGAAAAACAGTATACGAAAGAGGCACGAGAATCTAGGGTTTTTGGAACCTTTTTAATTTTTTTTTTTTTTTTTTTTTTTTTGATAGGAACGTAATATTGGAAGGCTTGAAGCTCGAAATTTGAAAATAGAAAAGCTTCGAATCTTCAAATATTTCTCTTTGGACAAAAGCCCTTTTATCCGAATTTTATCAAGAAGAGAAAATGGTAATTCGACTATTTTTTTTGAAAAGACTATAGCTAAGTTGAGAAGAAGTTCCAAAAATTTGTTTTAAATTAGAAAAGTGTAAATTCAAGTCAACAATTATATCGATATGTTTAGCGTAACGTTATACGCTTTATTATTATTTTTTTTTATCTAAATCACTCAATTTGTCTAATTTCGATTTCTATTATGCGCCGAAAGAAAACAATCACTATAATTGAGACGGAGAATATTGTGGCTTTTTTTTTGTTTGTCACATTTATCGGTTTTTCGATTATTTTTCGCTTTAGGACACTGGGAGTCAAATGAACACATTTTGTCTTCAGATTGTACTCGAGTTTTGCTGAGAGATTATTCATTTTCCTGTTTCTCAATGCGCCTTCGTGTTATATATTTTTTGTTCATTATCGGCAGTTTCATTATTTCTTTTCTTTTTTTTTGGAACCATTTCATTTGCTTTTCTTGAATATTGATAAATACTAACTTCTTAACACGGATATTGACTGGCTTTTGTTCGTATTAGAGGAAAGACAAGCTATACATACACACATACACAATTCATCTTACGAAATTAAACCCGTCGTACTTTTGCTCTCTCTCCAATATCTCGATTTCTTCTCTCACCTCTATCCCTCGGCACCTCCCTAGTCTCGCGAATTTCCGCTTGTCAGTTGGCGTAGTGATCGAAAGAACCTAAATATTCCAGACTAGCACGATAGCAGAATTGATATTGATCCTGAAATTTAAATTATTTATTTTATTCTCATATCAATCGATTTTGAATTAAAAAAGGAAAAAAAAGAAATTACCTCAGTTTGAACCATTGCCGGACGTTGTGTACGCAATATTCTAACAGTTTGGAAAATATCGACAACACCCTCGTATTGCATTCTCTCTAAAACAATGCTGAGAGTAATGAAAACTCCAGTTCTTCCAACACCTGCACTACAATGAACAGTGATAGGACCATCCTGACCAAATTGCTCCTTTGTTTTGTGTACTTGACCAATAAAGTCAATAAATCCATCTCCTGATTTGGGTACACCCTGTTCGGGCCAATCGATAAATTGAAATTGTCTCACTGTACGACTTGCGCCATCCCTTGCATCAGTTACTTTAAATTCACGTAAAATATATTGTGGCATATTATATTCAGCAATTGGATCAACAACAAAACATTGATATCGAATTGATCGATCGGACGGCCAATACTGATGGCATTTTTCTCTACCCATTTCTTTTAATTTTGTCAACATTACGACAATTGTTGAATTATGCTCCCAAAGCATACGCCAAAAATCATCAGTTGTATCTTTCAATGGACCCTGAGTGGCAATATAAGCGCTACGATAACGATAGCCGTCAATTAAACTTGCATTTATATAATCTGAACCCTCAATATTGCGTTGTGGCTGTAAACAAACACGTGTACATTCATAAGGCAAAATGTGAACCAAACGATTTTTATGTTTGTTACATGGTAAATTGGCCGATATAAATCGTGTCGAGTCTGCCTTGATGTTTGATAATTTTTTAAATTCTAATTCCATACCCGTGATAATATCAATTTCAGGTTGCATTAATTTTTGTATGTGGGAATGTAAATTTCTCGCTGGTACTTCAGTATTACCACAAATAACAGCTTCAAGTAATGCATCGTGAATGAAGATATATTGATCCTCAGTTTGTACCATATAATTTCTTTGTGCTCGCAAACATGTCACATGTCCATAAATATCAATCATTTTCTCATGCCTAATTCTCTCGAGCATTGAATCAATGACAATAAAACAACCCGTACGTCCAACACCGGCGCTACAATGAACAACCATTGGTCCACTGTCAGATGGATTTAGTGCTTTAACACGACGTAAAAATTGAAGAAATGGTGCAGGATGCTCTGGTACACCATGATCAGGCCATGCGGTAAATTGTAATTGTTTAATTTCCCTTCTCTCCGAATATCCATTGCGACATATTTGAAATGTTCTAATACAATAGGTTGCCAATTCTTGTACATCACTTATTGACACTGTCATTTGTCCATAAGTTTCTGCGCCTCTTGTTGGCCAATATTGATCGCATTTAATTCTCGTTCTCTCCTCAAGTTTTGTCATCATGACAATTGTATTTGATCTTAATTCCCAGCACATTCGCCAAAAATCAGCAAATGTCTCTTGCAATGGTCCTTGCGTTGCCACATATGCATTTTGTTTTCGATAACCATCACAATAATTTGCATTAATATAATCCGAGCCGGGTATACCATCGATTGTCTGAAGAATTACACGCGAATGATCATAGGCAATTACGTTTGCATAACGATTTTTCGATGTATTCACCTCCATATTTGAATGATCCCATGTGAATTGTTGACCAGGTTCTATTGATTCGTATTCTTGGCTAAATTTAAGATTGTCATTTGCCTTCAGTCGTTCAATATGATTGCCCAATTCGCTTATTGGAATTGGTGGATGTGACATCATGCCAGGTGTTTGGAAATTTAATCGACGCATTTCCACTGGATCGGAGGGCGCTGGATTTGAACTCATATCGGCAGCCATCAATGGTCGTGTGACTGCCGCTTGATCTGGTGTTTTGCACGGTTGTCTTCGACTAGAAAAATAAAATTAAGATTGAAATGGATAAAATTAATAGGAATTTATTTTTTCTACTTACTGTTTGACAACAAATAGAAGAACAAGACACACGCAAACCATTAAGGCTGCAATTATTGGACCAATCACCCACACCATTCCAGGTTCTTGACCGCTTGTTTTTACTGAAACTTCGGGATTTCCTTCGCCAGGATTGTCTATATTGGATGGTCGAAGTGGAGGATCACCAGGAGGTACTTTTCTCATATTTAATGATAAATATTCCGAGAATGGTGACGATGTGTAAAGATGCTGTAAAAGAAAATTTTATATAAAAAACGACGTTTTAAAATTATTTTTATAATTTATTAGATTAATTTATGTTAAATATGTGAAAAAAAAAAATTGTGCGTACCCTTCGTGGAGTGTCGACAACAGCACGTACAAATACCCTGTACCTTTTGTTTTTATCCAATATTTTATTCGTATAACCATCATAAAGATCTCCATTCCCCAAATAAAAAGTATAGGGAGTCGATCTTTGGGGGAATTTAGCAGCAATGTAAGGCGGATTCTCTTTATCTTTAGCATTTTTGCCCGAAATCATATCCTCAGTTAATGCATCGGGTTCAATATTTGAATATGTCGAATTTTCAGGAACAACAACTAAATAGGAATGTGAAATGGGTCCATATTCTTCCGAAGCCGATGGTAATATCACTTGAATTTCATCATTATAAACACCATAAAAATCTGGTTTCACCATTGGTTTTGGTGCTGCCATTTGTGTTGTGACTGTTATTCTCGCTGGTGGTCGATATGAATTATCAGGAGGCACTGCAGTCACATTAACATTATATGTTGTAAATGGTTGTAGATCATCAATTATCACCGTTGTTGTATGATGATCTAAAACTTTTTCTTTACGAGGGACAATTTGCGTACGTCCCTGTCCCTGTGAATCAACAAAAGTTTTAACTGCATCAAATGAAACTTTATAATTTTCGGGATTCAGTCTTATGGGCGGTGTCCAGGAGAGTGTCATCGAGTGTGTTGATGTCTCAGGTGCTCTTAAATTCAATGGCACATCGTCAGGTTTTACTTTTACTGTTTTCTTTTCACTGAGACGACCAAGACCCGTTTTATGTCGTGCTGCAACTGCCACTGCATATTCAGCATATTTTTCCAAATTTACAAGATCTGCTGATTCTGTCAAGCCCACGGATTTTTGTTTCCATTCATCGAGATCGGCAACTGCTGTCATTGTGTAAAAAATTTGATAACCAATTATTTTACCACGACTTGGTACTGGCTCCCACCAGACTTCAACACTTGATTCTGATGTTGCAACGGCTTTTACATTCATTGGCGCACGTCCAATATCTTTTTCGGTGACAATGGTAATTTTCTCAGAAAATGGTCCACTACCACGTTGTGTATGTGCTTTAACATGAAATACATATTCGGTGTTTTCTTCGAGATTTGTAAATACGGCACGCGTACTTGTTGTATTACGATCAACAATTGTACTGTGATCATTTTTCTTGTGAAATTGTACATCGTAATTTGTGATACGACCATTTTTATGTTGTTGCAATGGTTCACTCCAAGTCACGCAAACTGTGTCGGGAGTTTGAAAGTGAAACGATAAATTTGTCGGTGGTCCGGATGGTTCACTTTCAGGACTTGCCCAATATTGCACAGCTTCCTGTCCAAATCCAATGTGATTTTTTCCAGCAACTCGAAATTCGTAGTCCACACCTCGTTCAACTTTGGAAATAAATTTCAATTATTATTATTATTTTTTTTTTCGCTCTATTAAGTTTTATAGAAACTATTCAATTGAATATAATAAATTATTAAAATTTTGGGAATTTGAAACTAGAATGTAAATAAATATTTTGTGAAATTTTTCAAATACTCACTGAGATCTGTTATTTTGAAATTTTTCTGTTCAGTTGGAAGAATAACTTCCCGAAGATTTTGTCCTTTTATTCCATATTTGACTCTGTAATTTTTTAATTCTCCATAAGTTTGTTGAGGTACGTCCCAACTTAATTCTAATGTTGTTGGATCATCTCTATGAGTTAATCTGAAGAAAAATAAATATAATTTTCATAATAATAGATTGATTTTAATTATTTTATTTTATTAATTATTTATTTATCCTGAATTTTTATAAATTAAATTAATTAAAAATTTTTTTTTTTTTAATGAATTTTTATATGTAAATATATACTAACTTTATCATCAGTTCCGGCCTGTGAGGAACACCGCCGGGAGTTTTGATTTCAACAGGACTTGAACGATTTCCATCCCCTTTTCTTGTCAGTGCAGCAACTTGAATTGTATATTTAGTGTCAGGCTGAAGACCCGTTATATTCGCTTCTAAAATGCCTTGATCCTGAATGTTAACTTGCATTGGCTCGTTGAGAAGATCTTTATTCTAAAGTAGACGGCATGAAATTAATTCAGACGCAAAAACATATATAAAGCAATGAATAATGCCAAAAGTTTCATTCAAAAATTTATGATTTTAATTCGTTTACAAAAACAAATTGAAAAAATAAAAAAAAAAAGGAAAAATAATTAAATATTTCACATAGTTGATGGAATACATTTTTTCATAAAAAATGATTCGAAAAAAAATCGATGAAAATTAAATTTATACATAACATTGGAAGTTTTTTTTTTTTAATTTCTTTTTATTGCCAATCAAATGCATTGTACGAATTTTTCACCGGAAACATTTCTATTACGTTCCCGTTTATTGCATTCCAACATTCTTTGAGATATATATTTTTTCTTTCACAATTTCATGAATAGAAAAAATTATTTATTTTGTTTATTTATTGAAAAGAATCAAATTTCTTTCAATGTTAATTAATAATACAGCAAATACATTGGAATAAAAAGCAAATTAAGAAAATGTATTCAAAAAAAAAAAATTAAATAATTAAAATTTATGAATTTTAATTAAAAAAAAATTGTTTTAATTTAATTTAAAAATTTATTTATAAAAATATTGAAAACAATTTTTTGAATTAAGAGAAATTTTGTAAAATTTTTATTTGTTTCGACTTGACTGAAAAGTGAAAATGAAATTTTACCGACCTTTTCACTAACTTCCTGTATATGAATGTGATACCCTCGAATTACTCCATTTTGATCCTTTGATTTCGGTGGCTTCCATACAACATGGATGGATGAAGAATTAATGGGCGTTGCTCTGACATCCTGAGGATCTCCTGGCACTGTAACGTAACTCAATGTTACATTGAATTCTTTATGTCCTCAATTTACTACTCAAACATACAATTACACAATTCACACATTCTCACATTCATTCTAACTTCAACTGAAAGGATTTTTTTTTTTTTTCAGAAACAATAAAGTGCAAAAATTTTTTGGATCGATGTGCTGAAAATAACAAAAAAATTTGAAAATTAAACTTATATATAATTTATAAATTAAAATATACTTATAAACTAAGAACTTAATTGCTATTAAGAAATGTAATTTAATTTTATCAGGTAATTAATTTTTTAATTACGAAAAAAAAAAAATTTGTCAACGAAATTTGTATATAGATATAAAATATAATTTTTAAGTTTTTTAGTAAGAAAAAAAAATTATTTACAAGTAAAAAAATTAGTTTTTAAGTGAATAAATTAATTTTCCGATAAAAATCAAAATTTGCAAAAAAATTATAGTTTTCATTTAAAAAAAAAAAAAAAAAAACATTCTCTACTGCAGGCGCTGCTTTAATTTGAACATAGATTTAATTATTCTGATAATGATAACTATGATCAATTTAATTTCAGTTCCCAGTAGAAATATTTAATAGCTGCAAAGAATAATAATTTAATAATAATGAGAATTTGAAATTCAAATATAGAAATAGAAAAGAAAAAAGAAAATTAAATGCAAAAACAGAATATTAAAAATGAGAAATAAGAGAAAAGGAAATAAAATGAAAAAGGAAGAATATAGAGAAAAACAGAAATAGAAAAAAATGATAATAGAGGAAATGGAATAAAAAAAAAGAACAAGCAATCACTCGCACACAACTCTTTTTTTTATCTAAAACGTTTATACGAGAACAAGAATCGTCTTACGTCACACTCTACGTCCCTAACACGAAATATCCTCCATTTGAATACCAATAATTTTTCTTTTGTATCATCTGCTTTCTTTTTCTTTTTTTTTTTCTCGCGTCTTAAAAATCGCAGAAGGCTTGAAACACGATAAGGGCGGCATTATTGGAGAGTCCATGATGAATTAGAAAAAAAATTTTTTTTTTCCTTTTTTTTATTACATATCTACATATAAGTGTCGAGGTATATAAGGAATAAAAAAGCTGTGCTTAAAAAAAACAAAGCAACATACAAATCGCCGTCATATTTTAATAATAATAATTGAAAAAATTTGTGCTCATATATTTGGGAATTCAAAACAGAGTGTGGATTTAAAAAAAAAATTCTATTCCGCATATTTACAAAAGCGGAGGCTGACATAGTAATATTAATGATAATAATTAAAAAAAAAAGTAAATAATTACTTAAAAATTAATAGCATACATGTGTCATGGACAGTCCAGTATCCGACGTACAAAAAAAAAAAAGGAGTCGCGTGTAAAAAATCGTAGAAAAAAAAATATTTTTATTTTTGCAACATATAGAGATCAATATAATAATGAAAAATAAAAAATTCAACACTGCCTATCTACGTTCGAGGAAAAAGATCATTACAGCTGCTACTATAGAGTTTCGCTCGTGTTTTGTAAACAAATACCCCACTGTAAAAAATCATAAATTTTTTTTAATTTTTTTAATTTAAATATATTTTATGATTGGAATTTAAATTTTTCTCGTTAGGAAAAAATTGAATTATTATTTTTTTTTAATGCAATAAAAAATAAATTATTAAAATTTTAAATATTCTCTTTTTTAAAAAAAAAAATTTTTTTTTAACAATATAAAAATCATGATTATTACAGCAGGGTAAGATAAAATGCAAATTGAAGTATATAAAATGAAAATTCACACGCCTGGCAAAAAGGTATCAAACTGTGTACAACCGTAAAAATACTGTTCTACAAAATAAAAAAACACCCATCATAGCGAATTGTCTGCTTTATCAAAAAAAAAAAAAAAAAAAAAAAATTATATATATAATATAGAGTATAACAAAATGATACACTAGCAACGCGTTTCCTACAGTAGTGTTTCGTATATATATATATAGGATATAAAATGGTCAGCAAAAAATATATAATTAATATTGAATTTTCATATTATTATAAGACGAGTTATAATAATTTTTAATAGTTTTTTTTTTCTTTTTTTTAAGTTTTGTTTTGTTGTTGACAGAATACTCACTTTTTTCAGCTGCGCCCCAAAAGTCGCCAAAAAAGTAGGAAAAAATTCATAAAAAATCGTGTCAACTTTCGCACGTATATTAATAAAGAAAGAAATTGTGTAGAATATATAAGATTATTGAAAAAAAAATCTTAATTTACAAAAATGGCAATTCAATTAAAATAGCATCTACTTATTATTTTTTTTCTTTTTTTTTTTTTTTTGGTGTTAAGATTATATTATTATAAATAATTAAAGGGTCCTCTGTCTCTTTCTTTCTCGCTATCTCGCTGTCCCCATCCACCCTTGGCATGCATTTTTGTCCTTTCTCTCGTCATCGCATTCATACGCGTGGACAATAATTACAAAAAATGAATATTTATTATTATTATTATTTTGCCGATGGAGAGGCTAAATATGATTCTCTCTGTAAAAAAACGGTCGTTTTTCGCTCGATCCTCGGTTGCGGTTGGTCGCAGAGAAACGGGAGACGTGAGAATATATATATTTTTTTTTTTGCATGCGCAATCACTACTTCCAAATATATATATATATATAGATATAAAAAAAGAAAAATAAAACGAAAAACTAATAAAGGCTCATGTCCACCTGTATCGTACCGCTAGAAAAAGGAGGCATGCAGTTTTTTTTTTAAAAAAAAAATTTTAATTTCTTTTTCATGCATTTATTTAAAATAAAGAAAAATGTATCTTTTTTTTTTTAATTTTATTGTTTTCCTTTTTTGGCGATACGAAACATTTTAAATAAGGGAAAGAGCTAAAAAAATGCTTATATGGATGAAATATAAAAAAGAAAAAAATCGATAATAGAAAATAATAAGAGGACAAACAATACATATTTATATATTATTATATACAGGTAATCTACTATTTCGTTTAAGGAGTCACTCGTGAAAAAACTCGCGCTTTTGTGTTTATTTTTGAAAAAAAATTTTCCCGATGCAAGCATTAAAAATCGCGGATTTTTTTTTCCGAAAGTCACCGCAAAATAGAGCCGTGGGGACAATTTTTTTTTGGATTATTTGAAAAAAAAAAAAAAAAAATTTTTTCTTTTCTTACACACTTCAACCAACCGCTCATTCATCATTATCCCAAATTTCCGAACCGATTTTAATATTGTTACGCATTTGGGGACGGGCAAACGAAATTTTATATTTTTCCTTTTTTTTCTATTTTTTAATATATTGGGGCAGCATTTTATAGGAAAATTTATTTGGCGACTATTATTTGTAATCTAAAAACTTTAAAGAAAATTGTTTCTTATTAAAAAAATTTTTTTATTATTCTATTCTATTAAAATAGCGCAATTCTATTTTTTTTTTTATTCATCATTTTTATTTACATGTCAGATTATAAAAACGTGTTTTATTTTGAGTTTTGTAATATATTTATTTTTAAAATAAAAGTGATTCAAATAAGAAAAAACGGTTATTCGAGAAAAATTCAATATTGTGACATAAATTAATTAATTCCTTTAATAATTTCTCAATATTCTGATATTTTTTGGCTCTATTGGTGTTTTATTAATAATCTTTTTTCTCTAGTTTCTCTAAAAGGAGAAAATAAATTAAAAATTCTAAAAAACAGGAATAGAAAAAATTAGTTGAACTATTGTAAAAAATAGTTTTTTTTTCTAAAATTAAAAATAAAAACCGTTTTCCATTGAATCACTTTAATTTACGTCTTTGCCGAGGTCATGATGAGCGACTTCCCTTTTATGGGAATGTATATATATATATATATATATATATATATATTAATGTCAAATGATTCACCACTACCGTGACAAACGGCAGAGATTGAATTACAATGAGAAATTACTGAAACATGGTCATTGAATGGAGCCAGTTGCTAATATGGATTGTGTGCCCATCCCCGGAAACGCGTGAGCTAGCCTACCGATTATAGAGCTACAATGACAACTAAGGGATAAAGGGAGATACCATGCGCTTACTTTGGCCAAACACTCGAATAAACAGGAACTCATAACGAAAATATGTCCGACACAAGGCTTTCAAAAAATTTTGTTTATAATAATAATAATAATAATAATATTGATAATAATAGTAATAATAATGATAATTATACTACAATTACTGAAACGTTTGCTTGTTTTCAAAAAATTCATGACTCAAAAAATTCAACTCAAAAATAAAAAAAAAAAATATCAAACCAATTCTATACATATGTGTTTTTTTTCTGTTTATATACGTATTATAATTTAATGTATATAATAAATATTTATATAATATATGTGAACCATAGATATAATATGTGCTTGTTCTGACAATACGAAGGCATTAAAAAATATATCGAGTCAATACGATAGATTACAGACAAAAATCGAACAAAAAGTCGATTCCCATGCAAACAGCTAATGGTATATATATATATATTAATAAGGCAAAATTGTAAAAAGATGTGTTATATATGTTAGATTTTCTACAATTTCATTTTTTTTCGGGGGGGACGATAGTTATACAAATTGAAGAAAGAAAAAAAAAAAATTCCAAGTGTCATAAATTCTATGCGAATAATTTTAATGTATTTTGAAAATATTTACAAAAGATGAATTTAATTTTTTAATTAATTTATATAATACATAATTAAAATATTTTGGAAAATTATTTAATTTTTATATATTTTATTTTTAATTATATTTTTTTATTATATATATATATCTATAATAGAGGAGAAATTTGACAATTTTGAACTTTATTAATTTAATAAAGTTTAGGTTGAGAAATTGAGTGGACCATAAACGTTTTGAGAATACTAGTGAGGCAATTATTAAACTTGCCTTACCTCCCACATTTCAACTCCCCCCCCCCCCTTTTCGATATGGAATTTACTTACGAAGGCTGAATATCGTTGTTATAAGGGGGATATTAAGACTCTCTTTCCTTCTCTCACTGTGACGGCATTTAAAGTGTATTCGCCGCATGAGTCGGAATTTCAGAGCACGATTCAGAAACTGACACAAAATCAGATCGGCACTTTCGTTGAATATTGGTATTCAAATGAATCAAATTAGTCGCCTTGCGTCCTCTCTCTCTCTCGCACACGCTTATTGCATTAATGGTACTTTATATAAATATAAATTAAACTAGTATTAAATATGAATATATTTTCAAAAAAAAAAATCAAATCAAAAATTCAATTATAAATAATACCATTAAATTGTGCGTAACGAGATCTATTGTATTATAACTTGATAAAAAAAAAAATAAAAGTGAGAAAAAAAAGTTTCTTTTTCAACAAACTCGATGTATAATAATTTGATCCTCGAGTTGTTGGGGAAAAAGAAAGTTTTCCTTTTTTTTTTTTTTTTTGTTTTTGTTACAGAGACAAAGAATTATTGTTTGAAGAACATCATTTAGTCCTTTATATAGAAATAAAATTGATCCTTGCAAAAAAAAAGTTTTTCAAAAGAAAAATCTTTTCTACAGGATTATATTCTGACTTCTATTTTTTGTTTGGGAAAAAAATGATATTTAAATCTGAAAACAATAAAAGATGAAAAGAAAATTCTTTTCAACCTCTTTATCTCAGTATGGGATATCTATTAAAAAAAAAATTTTTTTTTTCTTTTCAATCTTTTATATACGACGATCTGAAGTAAAATTATTCTCCTTCCTAAAAAATTCGTTTTCCTTTTTTTTTCTTTAATTCCTTTTTTTCTCTCAAAGCATTCATACACGCATTCATACCAAAAGTCTCGCTCAGTCGTGATCTCAAAGTGCATCGTCTAAATAAAAAAAAAAAAATTTTTTTTTTCTACGTGAAAATTTTTGAGATTTAAGGTCACGACATTCTGAGATAAAAGTCGCATGGCAGTCGACATAGTGGGATGCTTGTCAAAAAAAGGGTGCTCTTAGTGCTGGTGCTTGGCACAATATTTAAAAATCAAAAATTGTGCATTTTTTTCATTTATTATTTATCACAAAAAAATTCAGATTTTTTTTTTTAAATTTTAAATAATACAAGCATTACGTTTTTAAACGCCTACCATTATAGAGATTGAATTTTTCCTGATTTTTGTTTTTCAAATGTTTTTTCGTTTCAAAAAAAAGAAATTCAAAAATTTCAAAAACTTTTTGCAATATTTTAGAAATTAAAAATATTTTTAAATCAGTTAAAAAATTTTTTTTTGAAGGAATCGCATGAATTGTAAAAATTAGTTTGAATTTCCAAAGGAATTGAATTTTTATTTAACCGAATTTTATAAAGTTTGAATTTAAATTGAATTTTCAGAAAATAGAATTTATATTTAATGGAATTTTTAATAAAATTTTTTATGTAATCTAATTTTTACGTACGAAAACTTATGAATTTTGCAAAATAAAACTAATTATTTTAAGAAAGAAATTTGTGCGTTTAAAAAAATTTTAAAAACGGAAAAAACATTTTTTTTTTTTTGGAAAAAATACAGAAAATTCAAAATATTAAGTTTGATGAAAAAAAAAATATTTTGCTAATTTGAAAATTTTTATGATTTTTCTTTTTTACTTTGGTGCGTATAAAAAAGTGACGTATTGCATGTATGCGGTGCGATTGTGCCCGAAAAAAATACCATATATTATTGCGGTGCGCGTACGTTCGCTTAATATATAAGATTTCAGAAAAAATTTGCTTGTGCTTCACAAAGTGCGAGCTTACACGATATAGGGTGCTTTTAGCAGTGCTTCCTGTCATATAGATATACCACTTTGCTTTACCGAGTCTGTTTAAAGGATACCCCTTGGAAAAAGGTAAAGGATATATATATATTAAATATATATCTAAAATAATATAAGAAATTCGAGTAAATGCAATATAAAATTGATGGAGCTTGGAAAAAATTTCCACACTCCAAGATGAAAAATTATATTTTTTTTTTTTAATAATTTTCTTTTTTTTCAAAAATATTTCCCATTGTTTTTTTTTTTACATTTTTAATTTACCATTATATTTTGTTCCGGAAAAAAAATATAAAATGAAAATTATTCGTGCAGGTAATTGAAAGAATTTTCCCCTTTTTTTCAAAAATATAAAAATTTTCCGTTTTTATGAAGGGCAATTATTGAGTGCAGGAGTTTTTTTTTTTTAGGATCAGCAGGCAAAATTAAAATCCCATGCATCGGCATGCCATTCATCGGATGGGAATATAAAAAACATGATACAATCTCAGACTCGGTATAGTTTTAGTGGTTTTTTTTCTTTTCTTTTTTTTTCTTTGTTGGTGGAAGGTAGAGGAAATTTTTGGATAATCGGATGGGAATGAATGGAAAATTTTTTTTTTTGTTGAAAATTTGGATGCTGGTGGACTTTTGGGATCTTAAACAAACGAAGTTGCATGCTCTAAACATGTGCAAACGATAGAACTAAATCTCAACTAAAGACAGAAGAGCCTTATATCAGAGATATAGAAATATATGTAGAATATATATATATATAATATATAGTGAAAAAAAGAATTAAGTGCGTTTTATATATATTCTTGTGTGTAAAAAATACATTCGCGTGTAATGCTAAATATTTATATATATATATAATAAGCGTATCAATTGATCCTGCGAGCTGTCATTATCTTTTGAATAATTGATACTTTCGTCTTCAAAAAACTTTTTTGCAACAATGAATTCATTCTTTTTTTTTCAATTTTCTTTTGAACAAATTCTTTTTAGTAATTCATTGTTTCAAATAAGTTTCAAACAAGAAAGAATTCGAAAGTAACAAAAAGCATTGGAAAGTTTGACAGTTTGCTGATCTTCTATTTTCAATGAGACGTGGCAAAAAGTGAGTAAATAAACTAAGAAACTTAATAAAAAAATTTTTTTCTTTTTACTGAATCACGTTTAAATCATCCGAAAAAAACATAGATATTATTATTATATGTGAATACATATTAATTAGTTAGTATACGTAGTGTAAAATTATCTTAAAAACTAGCTGTTTTTTTTTTTAAACCTGGATCATCCTCCTGCAAATGCTTTAAGAAAAAGACAAAAATATTTGGGTGAGTATTATAATTAATTGTGTTGAGAAAAAAAAGTCTATTTTTCATTAAATAGGCACACAGAAAAAACTAATATAGTGGCAAAAAAAAAAAAAAATAGATTAGGCCCTGAAAAGACATTTTAATTTAATTTTTTTGTTTTTTCTTTTTTTTGTTTAGTATTTCGTTATTTTGCTGACTTGAAAAATTATTTAAATCAGCAATCCAAACAAATCCGTGGCTGCGTGTACCTGGAAAAAATCCTTTTTTTCGGGGGAGGGCACAAACGGGATTTATAAAAATAAAAAACATGAATTTTTCGCCGCTCTCAATTTTTCTAAAAATATAAAATTTTGCCAGCCAAAAAAATAGAATTTGGTCCAAGGCTCATTAATTATTACTGGCTTAAAATTATTAATTTGGCTATTATTGGTAGCTTTTTTTTTTTTTGATAAAATGTGCCAAAAAGTCGATGAAAATTCGCGGAGGGTAAAAAAGTTAGTAGAAATTTTTGAAAATAATTATAGTCATTAAAAGTTAGTAAAGAAAAAAAGATCAGTAAGATTCTCCAAGTAGTTGTGTTTTTTTTTTGTTTATATATTTTAAAATTGGATAGAATTGGACGCGAAACTCATTTTCATTTATAAACGCATTAAAATATATTCAAAATTTATAAAATATTTTATTTCTTATTCTTTGTAGTTGAATTTTCATTTTTTATAGAAAAAAAAAAATAAATGTTTCTAATGTTTATTATTTCCGTAGAAGAAATGTTTCTATTTTGTAGAGAAAATGTTTCTATTTTGTAAAAAAAAAATGTTTATATTTTGTAGTAAAAATGTTTATATTTTGTAGAAACAACGATTTTAATTTTTTTGGATAAATAAATGTTTACTTTTGTAAAAATGACTATAATGTAATGATTTTTTTTTTCAATTTTTGTGTATAATTTTTCAATTTTTTTTTACTATTTAATTTTGTAAAGATTGTTTTATTTTTGTGAACTATGAATTTTGGTTTAAATTAAATTATGATGATGAATATTTATATAAATAGTATAATTGTTATAGAAAATGGAGAAAAAGAATGACAAAAAATCAACTGAAAACAAGGATTGTGTTTTTCTTTGGTTAGTTTGAGATTGAAGGGAAAAGAAGGGTTAATATATATTTTTTTTTTTTTGAAGAAGAGAAGTTAGTGGAATCTGAAATTGAAAATATAATTAAAAGTTTAGAAGTCGAAGTTGGCGCATCTCGCACTAGAAACGCGCAAATCTCAACGGATTTTTGGCGGGCTTTTATATTTTTAGGCTTCTTCATTGACATTGTACGAATTCGTTCGTATGTCTTTTTTTCTTTTTTGTTCATCACCTGCAAAGAGCGGTTTGAGAAGTACGAAACAAGTCGAATTTTTCTAATAAAAAATAAATTTGTCAATTTTCATTGTGCACTGTACAATTTTTTTTTGTGAATCAATCAATTAATAATTAAGTGTGATAAATTTAATATTGAATATATATTCCATTTAATTATTCATCAGGTTAATAAATAATTATTTTTTTCAATATTAAAATTCAAATTGACAATTAATTAACTTGATGAAAAAATTTAAAAAATGAATATATTTAATATTAGAAAATATCAAAGAAGCGAAACGTTAAAAGCATTTTCTGTCGTTTGAGAAAAATTGATTTTTTTTTTTTGTCATTCGGCTATGTATGAACGCATTCCTCACGCCAATACTCCTTGCAGGCGTTAAATATTGGTCATAGGTGAAAAAAAAAATTTTTTTTTTTCAATTCAATGATACATACCATCCTCGTGAGTTTTGACAGTCAATGGACGACTTGATGGTCCATCACCTACGCTCGTACCAGCGGCAACCCAAATTCGATATTCGGTCCATTTTTTCAGTTCATCCAATAAAAATTGCGTGTTGTTGAGTGTGACAAGTCGTGCTTCCGAATCGGAACGTCCACTTTCAACGGCTTGCAGTTTGTAGTATGCAATCCTTCCATGAGAATGTTCAGCAGGCGGTGGATTCCATGTTACCAAAATTGATGTTGGGCTGACTGCTCTTCCACTTACATTCTGAGGCGGAGCCCCGGGTACTGCATAACACTCAATTATAGGAAGGGAAAACAAAAAACGAAAACAAAAAAAAAAAAAAAAGGTACAGGATAATTTTGCAACCACCAACCAATAATTAACTCTCCCTGCTCGCAATCGAATAAAAACGTGAATCCACCAAATTCTATTTATCTATTTTTTTTTGTACGGACAAAAATTATTACCTAATTTTTCGACTAATTTAAAAAGGTGCTAAATTTACTACAGAAAAAAAGAATTTAGGATTTAAAAATATCTACAATAAATTAAAAAATTCAATCTATTTCAAATCAAAAATTTCTCAATTTAAAAAAACTAAAAATTGAAATTTTGATTTGAAACAAACAATGGAGAACTCAGTGAAAAAATTCGATTGAGAATAAATTTTGTTTAATTAATGATTGGTGGTTGCAGGATTGAAAACAATGAAAAAGTTCAAAACAGATGATTTTTGTTCCTTTTTTTTCAAAAAGAGGGTAAAAAAAAGTCAAGAATTGATCCTTGAACAATAAAGAATAAATTATTAAAAAAAAACTCACGTCATGGCTCAGTTCGTCACAAGAATAATTACAAATCGAGCGAAATAAATTGGATTATAATAATTAAAAAATGTATCTCGCTCAACAGGACGATAGAACCAAAAACGTTTTTTTTTTTTTCAAAAATAAAAAATAATAGATTATTTGAGAATATTATAAAAAAGGTGCCCAAAATGCACACACATATATCGATGCAGTGCTTAAGTGCAAGTTATATGTATGATATGTACGTATATATAAAATATATATAAAGTGGCATCCAAAAACGATTTTTCTTTTGCAAGTGGCATGCAATTCATTCTCACTCTCCCACACGTTTCAACGAATTGATTCGTTGACGACAAAAAAATTAATAAAAAAAAAAAAAAAATTCTATATTTATTTTTGTCTCACAAAAATTAATTTTTAATTTTTATTTCTGGAAGGTTTTTTTTTTCAAAAAAATTGTAGCTTACTCTACTATAGCAGGAGCGTCTAGCGCTACGATATTTTTCTTTTTTTTTTCTCTCCTACCTGCTGTGCCATTGTGATATCTTTATGGAGGTAAAGAAATTAAGACTCGATTTTCGAATTTACTTGAAATCAAGTTTAAAATTAATTTTTGAATTTTCTTTCTCTCTACCAAGATAATTGCACTTCGGGCACTCCTCGCTGCATGAACTTCTATTCACTGTTTTTTTTTTTTTTCGTTTCGGTTAATTTCTTTTTCTGCTTACCATACTGCTTTGTCCGAACTGGATAAGGTGTTGTCGTTGCACCTTCTCCTCTTTGTGTGCGTGCCGCTAGCCAAACGTAGTACAATGTATTTGGATACAATCCAGTCAGCGTGTAATTCTCTGTCGCTGGAATTCGTCGATGATGCTTTTCCTAATGACAATAAATGAAAATAATTTTTTATTATTATTTTAGAATCAGAGACAGAAATTGTAAAAAAAAAAAATTAGAAAAACGTACTTTTGCATAAGTATCGTTCCAATACAGCTCATAGCTGAGTATATTTTCAGCGCTATGGGCAGGTTTGTCCCATTGGAGCGTAATTTTGGTTTCCCCAAGTTCCACTGCCTGTAAATTCTCCGGTTGGCTCGGTACCCCTTGTTGTGTTTTTATTTGCACCGGAGGACTAACGGGACCAGGCCCAACACTTGTGAGCGCTTGAACAGTAATGGTGTAAATTGTATGTGGCGTGAGATCAGCAATTGTTGTCAATTGATTATTATCAACCATTTGCGATTGCCACGATGCCATTGGTTGATTTGGATCCGTTGTATAATACACCTTGTAACCCTATTCAGAAAAAAAAAGAAAATCATAAATTACATTTAAAAAAAAATTTATTTATATTTATTTATTTGAATTAGTTCAAATACAGTTTATTTAATTGAATTATTTCAAAAACTAGCAAAATTAAACGCGCGACAAATTGAGTATTTAATTATTTGTTATAAAGAAATTAAAGATTAATATTATTAATAATAATTTAATTTATTAGAATATAAATAAAAAATTTTTTTTTTAAATTTTCATATTAAATGATAATAATGAAAATTATATGTTTACAGGCCTCGAATTATACGACTTTTTCCGACTTTTTTCAAAAATACGACTTTTATCGACTTATTTTAATAAAATGCGACATTTTTTTTTACATTTGAAAAAATGTAAATAAAATACATTTTTTTAGTATAAAATGTAGATCTTCTTTAGATCTTCTTCAATTCAATTATTTAACAAATTTTGAACTAAAATGATTCTTCACTAAATTAATTATTTTTAATAATTTTAATGAAATACATCACAAATTCAATTATATCAAAATTATTTTTCAATTAAAATTTTTATGAAATTTAACAATTGTTTATAATTTAAAAAAAAATATCACAATAAAATTCAATTATTTTTTAAAAATTTCAATTCAAAATAAACTAAAATTCAATTATTACCCGAAATTTTAATTCAAAATCAATTAAAATTCAATAATTATCCAAAATTTTCAATTTAAAATTTAATTATTTACCAAGTTTTCAATTTAAAATGATAAATGAAATAAAATTCAATTATTTTTTAAAATTTCTATTCAAAATTAATTATCTAAATTTTCAATCAAAAATGAACTTAAATTAAATTATTATCCAAAATTTCAATTCAAATTCAATTATTTTCCAAAATTTTCAATTCAAAATGAACTGAAATTCAATTATTTTCCAAATTTAAAATCAAAATTAAATTTCATTATTCTCAAAAATTTGAATTCAAAATTAACTGAATTTTCAATAATTTGAATTTAAAAGCATCTAAAATTTAATTATTTCTAAAATTTTCCATCGAAATTTTTTTTTTTTTTTGAAATTTAATAATTTCAATTATAACTCTAAGGAAATTCAATTATTTTTAACTATTTTAATAATATATTCTTTGAAAATTCAACTATCTGAAACTATTTTTCAATTAAAAATGATTTTCAAATTCTTGTATTTTGTCCGCATTTTCTAATAAATTTTTAGTGAAATCATCTAAAATTTTAATTAAAAATCACTTAAAGTTTCAATTAATTTCAAAAATCTCAATTTTAAATCTTTGAAAATTCAATTATATTTAAAAAATGTTTTCCAAAAATTGTTTTGATAAATTATTTTTAGTTCTGTAAAATTTAATAATTGTTTGAAAATTAACAATATCTTTTAAAAATTTAATTATTTCTAAAAATATATAATAATAAATAATATTAATATAATAAATAATATTATTAAAAAAAAAATTTTTATTTAAAAATCTGTAAAATATTTTTGTTAAAATAAAAAACAAATCCACTTTTTTTTGGAATATAAATCGACTAAAACGACTTTTTTGTGTCTTTAAGTTGATTCGAGGCCTGTGTTTTTATAATTAATATTTAATAGGTATTCGTTGGCCCCTGGTACCTTAAAAATTAATTTTTAAAAATAAATTTTTTTCAAATTACTATCTTGTACGAAATTTCCTGGCGCATCTTTTTTCTCATCATAAATTTTTTGTACAATTTTTGAATCAATATACAACTTTAAAAAAAATTTCGTTGGTAAACGTTGTGTACTTCAGCTTTGTGAATTGAATTTTCGAATTTGGAATTTTAAAGAAACTTATTCCGAAATTTGGAAACACAATTATACAACTTTGGCAAAAATGAGAAAAAGAATTGTCAAAATTTGACACGTAATAAGATTACTATTCAAAAAAAACACGTGAAATCAGAAAAGGCCAACTTCAAGTTAGGGCAAAAGGACAGACTAAGCATTTTATTATAATATAATTATTTGCTTCAAGTAAATAATTTATTTAATTCTAATAAATATTTATTTACTTTTAATTAATTTTTTTTCAGTGTTTATCTCAATTAGAAGTTAAATTAGAGTGGGGATAAAGTTAAATAGACAAAGCTCAGCAATAAGTTGAAAACTACTTACTGTTACTTGACCATTTGGAGTTTCTGGCTCATCCCATTGAATAACCATTGTACTGGAACTAAGAGGGCGAACTTGGACCTTACGCGGCGCCGTACCAGGTTCTAAAACAAATGCCAAACCGTTAAGAGTGATCGAGCAATTACCAACATTTCAGTGTCGAAGAGAAATCTTCCTACCTACAAAATAAATGAACCAAACTTTTTAGTGCACAATAGTATTTAGAAAATGAAAAATAAACCCCAAAAGACATGGTGCATCATATTAAATAAAAAAAACTGGCCCAGAAAACTAGTCGATTTAAAAAAAAAAAAAAAATTAAAAATTATTTCAAAAATAATATTTACAAAAATTTTTTCTATCTAAAAAACGACTAGTATTCTTGCCTACCGAAAATAAAAAATAAATCCCAAAAGTAGTTGATGCAATTGAGATAAAAAAATAATAAAATTAAAAAGAAATTGAGATTGAAAAAAAAACAAAAGGACTACTGCACTCTTAGTACATAATTTTTAGACTTACTGGCACCTCCATATGTTGAATCCGCTACAGGGAAAAGGCAAATCAATTATTTTCCGCTTTTATAAACAATAAACTGTGAAAATACGAATGAAATTCGTTCATTCGTATTTTCACTATATATATATATATTCACGGGTGCACTACGAGTATAGTGAGTTTTTTTTTTGATAAAAAAAATCTTAAAAACAAATGATGAAATATTTTTTTAAAAAAATATTTGTCTGTGTGTAATGTTTAACAAAAAAAAAATATATTCACGAGTGCAATACACATATACTATTAATAAGGTGTAATATGGTAGATGATAAAAAATTCTTCTCACTTACATGGGTCAAATTGTGTCCACAGTGGACAGCGTGAAAAAATATAAATTTTTCCCTCAAAAACACATGCCAAAAAAATTTTTCAGCCAGTGCAAAAAAACTATCTAGGTGCAAAAAATCGATTCTTTTTTTTTTGGGTAAAAAAAAATGCTCGTTCTTGCCTTTTTGTTTTTCAATCAACAATGATTTGTCGAAGAACAAATATTTTTTTTTTGAAATTTTTTTCCCATATTTAAAATTTAATTCATAATTATTTTATTTTTTGCTATTTTATTTTATTTCAATTCATTTATATTTGATTTATTTCTATTCATTGTTCGACAGCAACATTGTTGAATAATGAGAAGGTTTTCAAGCACAGAAGCGAAATATATTTTATATAGATAAATATATAAATATATATATATATATATATATATATATATATATATATATATATATATATATGTATGTATAAAAAAAAATAAAAGCAGAATTGGAAAAAAATGCTACGCATATGCTTGAAAACAGATGAAATTTAAATAAAAAAGTTTTTAACAAAACGAAGATAAATATTTACTGATAAATGTGACGATTTTTCGATATCAAAAAAAGGAAAGATAAAAAAAAAATGAAAAATAGGTATATATGAAAAGTGTTGATGTGGCAGAATTTGATAGACATAAGTTTCATTTAGGTGAAAAATATATTTGAAAGACAAGTCACTGACAAGAGGAAATAATCAAAAATATAAATATAGAGAAATTTTGTTGTGTGATTTTGATATAAATTGTATTAGTTAATAATTTCAAAATAAATTCCATCCAGAAATAAGTTTTTTTAATAGATATAGATAAAAAAAATTAATTTTTTATATTTATGGATTTTAAAAGTTGTGTTTTTCTAAAAGTAGAAAACGTTAATTAAGAAAAATGTTGAAAACTTGTCGAAAATTAAATAATTAGTAGCAAAAGTTAACATTTAGTCAGACATTTAAATTTCATGCAAATTTATTAGTAGATTAAATTCAATTAAGTCAGACATTATGAAAAAATTAAAAAATTAGTAGTAAAAGTAAATGTATTGGCAGACTTTCAATTTTTGTATTTCTATTAGCAGTAGAAGTAAATATTTAGAAATTTCAATTTTTTTTAAAATTTTATAAGTAGAATAAATTAGTTTTAGTCAGACATGATGAATAAATTTTAAAAAATCAGTAGTAAAAGTAAATATATAGTCAGACCTTAATTATTTTTGTATTTTTATTAGTAGTACAAGTAAATATTTAGTCAGACCTTAATTATTTTTGTATTTTTATTAGTAGTACAAGTAAATATTTAGTCAGTTTTTAAATTTTTTTTAAAATTTTATAAGTAGAATAAATCAGTTTTAGTCAGACATGATGAATAAATTGAAAAAATCAGTAGTAAAAGTAAATTTATAGTGAGACTTTCAATTTTTGTATTTTTTATCAGTAGTACAAGAAAGTTTCAGTCAGACAGAATTGATCCAAAATCTTTGTAATTTATGTAAAAGTAATTAAAAAAAGTAAAATAAGATCATTTTTCTGTGTTTTAATATCAATTTTCATTAATTTTTTATTTTATTGAAACTAATAAATTTAAATCTAATAAATTAAATTTTCAGTTAATTTTTGATAAAATATAATAAACGTTATAAACTTATTTCTGGAAATGGGATCAATATCGTATATATATACGATTTATCACTAATTGAAAGGTGGATTAAAAATGATTTTATAAATATTTAAAGAACATTTATGTTCTCTGATAATGTTCACGTTGAAAATATATATTTGTTTATATATATAGAGAGAACGTGCAATAAATAATGAATATAAAATACTGACTTGTTTCACCAGTGGTGACAATCACCGGGTCACTTGGGGAACCTCGTCCAATGGTGTTGACAGCAATGACATACAATTCATATTCGGTATAAGGACTAAGACTTCGCACATGATAATACATTGTCGTGATTCCAGATATTTCAGCAAAGGCTTGATTTGCATGCTTTGGTTTGTGTTGAATGACATAATATTGTAGTTCGTCTGGTCTCTTGTAAGACCACGTTAATTTCACCGAAGTCGCCGTAATATCTGATACTTGAACGTTTTCCGGTGGACCAGGAAGTGCTATTAAAGAGAGAGAGAGAGAGAGAGAAAAAAAATAAACAGAAATTATTAATCGAATCTCGAAATTAATTAATAAAAAAATTCTTTTCAAAACATTATGAAAAATAATAATCGTAACAATAATACAAAATAAATAAATAATACAAAATAATACGAATTATAAAAAATAATAAAAAGTAATAAAAAAAATATAACTAAAATACACAAATTGAATAATAAAACAAAGAAAATGCGATACAATATAAGTCATAAAATAGAAATATTTTTCATCGCTTTTATATATATATTTTTTTTTTGTTTTTTTACATATTGACGCGCACAGTGTGTCCCTTTATAATTGATGAAAAGCTTTTTTTTCAAAAGCTTTTCACAAGAAATAACAAATATTCAATAATAAAAAAAAATGGACTTTTATTACGAGCCAACAAGTACATGATTGTGTTAAAATGTTTCATTTTATATTTATATATATGAAGTTTGGCCTCTATATATTTGATATAAAAAAAATGAACTATAATTGATTTCCCAGGTTTATAATAGAATACAAAACAGAAGGAAATTAATTGTAAAATAAAAATTATGAAAAAAAATTGAAATAAAAAATCTGTTATAATAATGAAATTATTTAAAAATAAATAATTTTTCAATTTAAAAAAAAAGAATTTTTAATGTATTTTTTTTACAGTATTCTAAATAGGTGAATAAAAAAAGAATTATTTAGATATTCATTTTATGTATTTCAATAATGGATTTCGATTTATCAATACTATTGTCGAAATAAAGGTATTAATTTGAAAATATTAAATGCTTACATAAAAGTAAGTGGATTTTCAAAAAATTCCAAAGGCTTTCAATTTTTATTTATTTTTATTATATTATTTATTTATTTTTAATCCCATTAGTGTGGATTTTATTTATTTTTTTAAAATCATAGTTTTTATTTTTCTACAATATAACATTATTCTGGAGTAAAAAAATTTTACCAAAAAATGCTTTTTTATAATTAAAAATATAATATGTAAAAAATGAAAATCTTATTTTGCACTTTTTTATTTCAAAAATTTATATTTCTACAATATATATATAATTATTTTGGAGTAAATTTTTTTTTTTAAATTCTTTTTTTTTTATAATTTAAAATCTATTTACTAAATGTGAAATATTTTATTTTCTTGCAATGACAATGTATATGTATTAATATAAGATAACACAAAATGATAATATAAAAAAAAAATAGTTGACAATGTATGAAATGCGTTGAAAATAATATTTGTATAGTGATAAAGATTTTTAAATTTTTCCTTTATAACAATCGTTAATTTGAAAAAAATATTTTTGTGAACTAATTAACAGAAACTGGTTTTTTCGTGTTTGCAGTGTCTTTTACTATATTTAATTATTCGTTCATTTTAGAAACTCCAAAAAAAAAAAAAAAAAAAAAAAAAAAAAAATGTCAAGATTCATATCAACTGGAATTTTGATTCTGTTCATTGTAACAATTGTAATGTTAATGGCTCCTTCTGTTATGTCAGAGTCAAAAACATGCTTAAGATCAGGTCAAATATGCACTAATGGAGCGAAATGTTGCAGTAAAATGTGTGTAAGAAGAAATAAAAGTGATAAATCAGCAAAGTGCTTTTTATAAACAATTATATGTTGTGTTGTAATTTTATGAATCATAAATATTTGAATTTATATAATTGTTGTCCAAACAATTCTTTCGAATTTACAAAAAAAAAAAAGAAAAAATTAATAAAAATGATATATTTTAAATTGTATACAATAAAAAATGCAACACCAATGTATAAATAAATAAAGAAAATGAATTAGAAAAAATAAATAAATAATGCCTTTATTATTATGAATTATTTTTCAACTAGTCTCTATTATTGAAACACTAATTTGTACTTGAATTCTGTCGAAATTTTAATTTATATTTATATCATTAATGTCGAATAATTCCCTTAAATTTACAGAAAAGAAAATATTAGTAAAAATTATATATTTAAAATTGTAAAATAAAAAAATTCAACAACCAATATACAAATAAATAAAGCTTATATATATTATGAATTTTTTCAACTATTATTTATTCTAATCAAATGAATAAGATAAAAAATTAAAAATTTTATAAAATAAAATAGAAAACTAAGAAAGGAAAAAAAATTAAAATTAAAAATGTAATAAAATAAAATAGAAAACTAAAAAAGGAAAAAAATAAAATTAAAAATGTAATAAAATAGTAAAAAATATAATATTTTTTTTTAAACTTACATTGAACTTTGACCATTGTAGTGGCATCAATTAAACCGAGATCACTGGCTGCTACACATGTATAGTTTGCTGATTGTTGAATATTGTTTAGAATAAGAACATTTCTACCAACTGGTAGTTTATCATCAGGTGTCATATCGGTATCAGGTTCCTTTCTCCATTTGACATAAGGCATTGGCGCACCATAAGCAACGCACGTCAGATTTAAAGTTGCACCAAACATAACTTCAGTCACAGCAGGTGGCGGAATTGAAAATTGAGGTGGTACTCGTCGTTCTGAAATTGGATTTTCAAAAAAAAAAAAATCTAAATTTCCCAGTATCATCATCTTACTTTCAGCTGTCTGTATTTCTTTTTAGATTCCACATTTTATTAATATTTTAGCAATTAAAATTTTTTTTCAAACAAAATTCTTCATTTGTTCCCTAATATTAATTATATATATTATTATAATTTTTGTATTATTATTATTTAAATTCGTTTATATGATAATTAAATATAATATATATACTTGATACTAAATGACAAATAGTCTAATTAAAAAAAAAATTGATTTCTTTTTTATAGAACAAAATATGGGAAAATTTTTTTTAAATTGATTTTTGAATAGAAAAAATAAAATTGGTTTTCCTCGTTTTGTCAAAGCTGTATTGGCAAATGCATTAAGATAAGAACTTAAATAATATATGTTAAGACAAGTTTTTTTTTTTAGTTTGTCGATTTAGTGGGAAAGAACATTGAAGTAGATAAGAAAATTTACGATCAAACACATTTTTGTGTTGATTTTGGTGTCTATAATTTTTATTCCAAAAGGAGATTAAGGATCTTTGAGTTAGACACGTGTGCTAACAAGTTTGACTTTTTTTTATCGACTTATTTCTCTTTTTTTTTTTTTTATTTTAAATATATCAACTTTTTGTTTACATCTCTCTTTTTCGATAATAAATTATTAATTCCATTTTTTTTATTATATGTGAAAATAAACTAAAATAACTATTTTAATATTGTAAATAAATGTATATATTACTGTATTAACAATAAATACAAATACGACCTATTTATAATTTGGCATCAATTCTATAAAGTGATGTGACAAAATGTTTTCGACTTTAATTGAATTTCATTTAATGAAATATGTCGTTCTGAGAGGTAGAATGAAAATAAATATAGAATTAATTAGTTTCGGGTACATAAAATCCTTATGTCATGTGGATCACAGTTCCATTTATTTAATTAATTTTAAACTACTTAAATAATAATAATAATAATATATATATATATATATATATATATATAAATGTAAATGTATTTAATTGTACTGTAATAAGAAGTAATACCTGCTACAGAAATGGAAATATAAATTTAATTATTAATTTTAATGATAATTAATAAAAGTTCAATTATGGTCTAAAATTCATATGTAGAACAAATTCATTAACCTAATTTGATTTTAATTTACAGAATATTGTAAAATATTTAATATTTATAATAATATAAATTTTTCTCTTGTTTTTTTTTTTAAATTTTACAATAATTAATGAATACTTTATTAAAAAATTAAAATTTTTTTTAAATTTACGTTTGTTAGTATTTATTATATATTATTGATATAAAAGAATTTTTTTTTTTTTTAATTTTATCTTAAAGTTTCTTACCTTTAACGTAGAGCATAGTTGACTTGGAATATTCAGTACCAACGGAGTTATTTGCCACACATTCATACTTTCCTTGGTCCTTGACTTCAGACATCGTGATTTGCAGCGCTCCTAAGCAAACAAAAAAATATTCTCCATAAAGATGCATGAAAATCTTTTCAAAGTCAAATACATCTTAGAAATATTTCTTTATTGCAAAAAATTTCAAATTCTCCAGACATTTTATTCAAGAAATTTTATTTAAAAAAAAAAAAATTTTTTTAATTATTAAAATTTTAACAAAAAAAAAGAGGGGGGTTAAAAAAATCGTCAGTCACTCAACGTTTGCTTCTTCATATAAAATGAAGGGGGGATTTGAAAAAAAAAAAAACGTATTATACTTGTTATCTGATTGGACATGAAATCCCTCCATTTCATTGCGAAAGATATCGTAACGGCTAGAAATGTACAATTAACAAGTGTAGTATGCGCTATCATCGCATGAAGAGTTTTCGACAATTTTCAACTGTCAAAAATTCTGAAGGTAGAATTGGCGTTGCGTGCCAAGTTGAGTTATAACATTCTCAAATTGGACGCTTTGACACCTAATGATGGGCATATATTTTTTTTTTTATAACTATATAGGTGGAAAAAAAAAATTATATATGGAAATTCATATAGACACGGTGAAAGTTAAAAGACGTCAACGCTATATTTTTTTTTTTTTTTTATTATCATCCTTATTTCTCTTTCATGAGTGCTAATAGAGTTTTACTCGCAGTAGAAAGGGCGTGGAAGGGCTGCCGCACAAGTTATAAGGGTGGCATTCGTGCTGTATTTTCACGATGCATCAAAAACCCTTGCACGATACCATGATGAACTGGTTGTTTCCAAGGCGTGTGATTATCTTCACCCAGTCTCTGGGTATAATTCAACCACCGCCCCCTTTCCATTCCCCTTTTCTTTGGCTTCATGGCTAAAACAAACATACGAGAGCGTAACGTACTCGAAACTAGAGAGAGAGAGAGAGAGAGAGAGAGAGAGAGAGAGAGAGTAAATTACGCATGAATATTATTCACAAGAAAAACATTTTTAGCGTCAAATTTTTCATTAGGCCAAAATTTTTCTTAATTGAATCTTCATTTAGCCGAATTATTATTTAATAGAATTTCTATTCAATAATATTTTTATTTCATTCCATTTTTATTTCACAAAAATTTCCATTTAGCAGACTTTTTTTTATTTAATAGAGAATTTTTATTAGCTACAAATTTCCATTTAACAGAATTTTTATTTAACCGAATTTTTATTGAACGGAATTCCCATTTAGTTGATATTTTTATTTAGAAGAATTTTAATTTAGCAAAATATTTATTCCAACTAAATTTCTATTAGGCGAAATTTTTATTAAATCGAATTTCCATTCAGTGAAATTTTCATTAAACCAAATTTACTCAAAATTCAACCATTGTTTAGCCAAATTATTGTTTAATAGAATTTCTATTCAACAATATTTTTATTTCATTCCATTTTTATTTCACAAAAATTTCCAGTTAGCAGACTTTTTTTTATTTAATAGAGAATTTTTATTTGCTACAAATTTCCATTTAACAGAATTTTTATTTAACCGAATTTTTATTGAACGGAATTCCCATTTAGTTGATATTTTTATTTAGAAGAATTTTAATTTAGCAAAATATTTATTCCAACTAAATTTCTATTAGGCGAAATTTTTATTAAATCGAATTTCCATTCAGTGAAATTTTCATTAAACCAAATTTACTCAAAATTCAGCCAAATTCAGCCAAATTATTGTTTAATATAATTTTTATTTAACAACATTTTTGTTTAATTTCATTTTTATTTCTCTAAAATTTCCAGTTAGCAGATTTTTCATTTAAGATGGAATTTTTATTTGGCATAAAATTTCCATTTCACAGAATTTTTATTTAACCGATTTTCTATTCAAAAGAATTCCTATGTAGTTGATATTTTTATTTAGAAGAATTTTAATTTAGCAAAATATTTATTCAACCAAATTTCTATTAGGCGTACTTTTTCTTTAATCAAATTTTTATTCAACGAAATTTTGATTAAGCCAAATTTACTCAAAAATTTAACCATTGTTTAGACGAATAATATGCAATAGAATTTCTATTTAACCAAATTATTACTTAATTTCATTTTTACTTCATCAAATTTTCATTGAACAGAATTTTTATCAAGCCAAATTATTATTTAGAAAGAATTCTAATTTTAGAGTATTTTTATTAAACTGAATTTTTGTATTTTCATGGAATAGAAATTTTTATTTAGCTGAATTATTATTTAGGAAAAATTTTAATTTTATAGCATTTTTATTTAATTGAATTTCCATTGAACAAAATTTTCATTTACCTGAATTAATATTTAGAAGAATTTTAGTTTGGCATAATTTTCATTTATTCAAATTTTCATTTAGCGAAATTTTTGCTTAATCGAATTTTAGTTTCATAGTTTCTTTATTTCAAAAAAATTCTTGTTTAACCGAATTTTCATTTAAATGAACATTAATTTCACAGTTTCTTTTTTGTTTAACCAAATTGGAATTTAGCAAAATTTGAGTCAGTCTATTTTTATTTAACAGAATTTTGCAAATTTTGCGAAAATTAAATTTTTGCTTTAAGAACAATTGGGTTAAATGAAAATTCGATAAAATTGAAATTTTAATGTAGAAAATTCTGTTAAATTAAAATTTGTTTGAGTAAAAATTCAATTAATTAAAAATTCGGTTAATTAAAAATTCAGTTAAATAAAAATTCGTGGATATGAAAATTCGGTTTAATAATATAAAGTCAATTTTATAAAATTCTTTCATGATTTAGAAATTCGATAAAAATTTTTAATTTGTCACAAAAATTCTAATAAGTATCTCGTGTTGTTACTTGTTAATATTTATACGTCCCATTAGCGAGGACATTTTCCACTTTTTTTTTTTTTACTCTTTCTCTCTTGATTCTCAAACAGCTAATTCACCGATAAAAAACATATGCAATTTCAAAACAAAGAGACACAATGCAATGAAATTGTGTACTTGCAGAATTTTTTATTCTCGCATTTGTCAACCTTTAACGCTTTCACGTTATTTTCTTGCTTGTTTTCCATTTTCATCATTGGTTACCACTTGCAATTGCTTGACCTAGTTGTAGGGTACATAAGCGTACGCGACTCAGTGTATATAGAAGAATGTTTTTTTTTTGTATTTTATTTTTTCCCCACCTCCACCCCCCCCCTTCTGACAAACACAAAGGATGTCAAACTCTTGGTTCAAAGGATCTGATTAATTTTAAAGTAAAAAAAAGAGAAAAAAAAAATTTTTTTTCAACCCTTCAAAGAATTTTTTTTGTTTTTATATATATAGACAAAGTGTGCATGTGTGTGTTTTTTTTTAACTTTTTTTTTATGTAATACTTTGGAGGTATATGTAGGAAATGTGTTCTTTTTTTGCATGTCATATTACTGTATTTTTAATACTATATACATTAATTAAGCGCTTTATACTTGTCTTTATTTTTATTTCGAATAAAATAAGTCTGCTTTTTATGTAGTAAATTTTATGAAGAGATCGCTTTTTTTTGTAATAAAAGATTTTATGGTAATTGTTATATGTTGGTGAAAAAAAATTTCTATTTAAAAATAGTTGATTTTGTAATTTGTTCTTTAAATATAATAATACATTTAAAAATAGGGTTTGGTATTGACAATCAAACGTTTGATTGGTATTTAAACCAAAATTTTTTTGTTGAATCAACAAAATTTTGGTTGTCTCAATTAAAATTTGTTTGACACAACCAAAATTAGAAAAAAAGGATTTTTGTTGTCCTAACTAAAGTTTGATTGGGACAACCAAAATTTTGTTGATTCAATAAAAAAAATTTGGTTGCTTAAATACCAACCAAACGTTTGGGTTGTCGATACCAAACCCTTTTTTCAGTGTATAAATTAAAATTAATAGAAAAAAATCGAATTATTCGATAAAATTTTTGTTCATTTCAAAAGAGAAATTTTTTTTTAAAGAAGACAATTTTTATTGAATATTATTAAAAATTCACAGCTTTAAATTATTTTCTTTAAAAATAATATATTTTTTTTTTGAAAATTAAAATGTAGGTTTAGAAGACAAGGAATGGAAAATTGCATTGTCAAACAAATTGTCCTGGTAGTAAACATTTGTGTTATATACACACACATATATATATATATATATATATATATATATATATATACAACAATCCTTTGCTTTGTGCTGTAAAGCTTTTCTCACTCGCGACTTTTTAACTAGCAACAACAATTCTTTTACGCCCGAGGAAACTTTAGACGTTCTTTTGAGTGTCGCACTTTTACTCGTTAATTCGTCGTATTTTTTCGTTTACTTTTTTTTTTTGTGATTAGACAATTGTAAATATAAGAGAAAGTTTTTTTATTCAAAAACCAAGTTAAATAAAAAAAATAAAATTGCAAATAAAATTTTTTATTTAAATTAAATAAAAATTTATTTGAAACAAAATGAATATTTAAAATGATAAATAGAAAAAATAAAAAAAATTATTTTTTTCCCTATGGAAAAAATGTGCGATATTTTTAATGAGTGGAAATATATATATATAATTATATTGAATTCAAAGTTTCAAATTAATGATATTGATTGCAAAAAAAAAATAATTTAATGGGAGAAATAATTTTAATTAAATTTTTCCTCTAAATTAAGTTATTTATTTATTTTTTTAAACACTTTTTATCGAGAAAATCGCGATAAATGAATTGAAATAGAATATTTTCTTTAAATGAAAATTCTCTTACTGTGTGTAAATGGGGGCAGAACGGAGAAAACACTCCATCACAAAGTACAAGGCGTAGTTGTCTGATATCGCGTGCGATCGGAATACATAATCAAACCTCATCTACAATTTCTTGTAAGGTGCCCGGTTAATGTACATGTACCTGACTTTGCTTCTCACCCGTAAGATCCGTTTGTATATCTAATGTCAAAATGCAAAATAATATATTCGTCGCAGTCCAATCAATTGTTTTCAATTTAATTTTTATTTGGGAAATTAATTTAATTTTCAAAATTAATTTTAGGTTTTCATTTT